AACAGATTACCGCATAGCAACGGAATATTCTGGTTAGGCTTTGCAAAAATGTTTTATAAGCCCTAAATACAAAAAATAGGTGGATTTGTTCAATTGCATCATATGGTAGACAGTATTATATTATTTATTTTTAAAATACACATATAATATTCTTATATGCCAGCTTGTAATTTACTTTTTGGATAGACATGTGATATGTAGCCTAAGGAGCAGATGATTTGCCCACGCGGGGTTTTATATTAATTACAAAACGTATAGTATACTACCCTTATATACATGTACATGTAGGTCACCAGTATGTAAATATATCGCATAATAACTTATAATACATATTTATATTACATAAAGCTTATTTTAAATTTATAGTTAAAATAGTTAGTATGGGGATATTGATCCACTTACAAAAACTAATTTTTTGTCTAAGATATGCCAGAATTCTGTTTCGCGTACATACGTGAGAACACTGCTTGCCAGGCAACGAAACAACGCCCACCAGCAGCTAACTCGTCCAAACAGACCAGATTATAACTAAAGCCCCCATCCTGCACAGTAGGATTAGATCATAATTTAAGTATCTAAGATACTACTAAAATTTCGTAACAATGGTGAATAACACCGGAAGTTGCCGAAAATCGTTGAAAATCACGAGGCTTCTTCCTTTGAATGAGTTAAGGACATACAGTTCCAGAAAAATCGGATTAGATAATAATTGAGGTCGCTAATGTGCCAACACGATTTCGCAACAAAGGGGAATAGCTCTAAATTATATCGAAATTTAATATAGCGTTTCCAATTATTAGGATAGACAACCAATATAAATTGTGCATAAACAACCCGTTAAATTTCAGAGGGATAGGGTCATAATTGAAGCCCATAAGACGATTTCATAAATCTGGAAGTTATCGTCGAAAATCGTGGAACATCAAAAGGCGTCTTAATTATCTATTTAAAAACATGTTGATTATTATAACTTATATTGTGCTAACAGGAAATGTGGACGCAAGCAAACGGCCGGCCGATCTGACATTATATATTAAAACGTGGACTTGGAAAAATAATTGGTTGCTGCGGGCTTCATTTAAAATTTAGTCATGCGTGCAGATGTTCAATTAAATGAAAGTATATATTTTGTGTGCAATCATGTTTATATAAAAGGTATTAGTAACACCCACATGGCTGTATATTTAATAGTATATATTATATGCTGGGATATACACGTATGTATTCTTTCTGTCAGAATTGTTTAATAGTTAAAGCTCTGAGAATACCGTTTTCAAGTGAGACTATTGTTTTCAAGTGAGACTATTGTTTTCAAGTGAGACTATTGTTTTCATGAAAGAATACTGTTTTCATGTAAGAATACTGTTTTCGTGTAAGACTACCGTTTTTATGAAAGAATACTGTCTTCATGTAAGAATACTGTTTACATGTGAGAATACAGTTTTCGTGTAAGAATACTGTTTTCGTAAAAGAATAATGTTGTCATGTAAGAATACTGAGAATGGTGTTGTATTTTTACAAAAGAAAATGATGAATTCATGTGTTATTTTTCAAAAGCGAACCGTGTTCTTATATGAGAATATTTGAGCATAGTGTTGTTCCAATTTTTATACGGGAATAGTGCTTTTATAAACTTAACAACAGGGGTTTTATGTAAGGACTGTGGTTTCAGTTCAGAATGGTTTGGGTATGTTGTTTTATTTGAGGACAGTGGTTTTATTTGGGGACATTGCTTGTATTAGACAATGTGGTTTTATTTGAGGACAGTGGTTTTATTTGAGGACAGTGAAGAACAGGGTTTTATTAGATGACAGTGTTTTATTTAAGAACAGTGTTTTTATTTAAAAACAGTGTTTTTATTTAAGAACAGTGCTTTTATTAAATGGCATTGCTTTTATTTAAGAACAGTGCTTTTATTTAAGAACAGTGCTTTTATTTAAGAACAGTGCTTTTATTAGATGACGGAGCTTTTGTTTAGAACAGTGCTTTTATTTAAGAACAATGTTTTTATTAGTTGACGGTGCTTTTATTAAAGAACAATGCTTTTATTTAAGAATATTGCTTTTATTTAAGAATATTGCCTTTATTTAAGAACAATGCTTTTGTTTGGTCGTTTTCCTTCAAATAAACAGAAGGTTCACAAAATTATAAATTCAAATCTCAAGAATAGACGGTTTAAAACTGTATTATTGGCCTATTAGTTTGAAATATATTTTATATTCCCAAGAATGATTTAGCTGTTTTCTTGCTGTGGAAACAGATAGGGTAATGTAACAAAAATTTGTCAGTATTGTCTGTTAGCAAAAACTGGATTTTTAAAGACAAATGGTATCAGGTGTTCTAGAAGTATTAAGTACATCCATAAGAATAGCTAAATGTATATTTCGAGAGCAGTGATTACGAGTAAAGAACATACCGTAGTTATTAATTACTGTTCATATTACCTAATATTTAGCCCTGAGCTTGAGTGAAAATACAAACATTGCAATCAAAATAAGTAGGATTTAGTTCAAAGTATAATGAGTAATATAAATGTTTTCATTGCATTTTATATAGATTTTGTCTCTATTTTATATAGATTTTGTCTCTATTTAATATGAATGCATTCAATTCATCTCAGCGAACTGCTCTCCGGCACTTTACATAAGTACAACTAATATAAAATTACAACAATCACAACATATTAATCCATAAAAAAGACATAAACAAAAAAACAGAGAACATTATTTAGTACACGTGATAAAAGTCTGGCACAAACACAGCTAGAACCGTATTCAATCAGTTGTATATTTGATTTAAAAAGTTCGGTTTTGAGATACTTTTTAAAACCATTAATAGCATTTGCGCTTTTGTTTTCGTTTGATATTGAATTCTATAACTTACTTCGGAGCACTGACTACGAAAGATCTATTTCCGGAGTTGGTTTATAAAAAAGGGTTTAGATAGGAGGTAGTCTGGTTGTACTCGAAGGGTTCTGCAAGGTTTATTGGTGTTGAGAAGGTCTCTAAGGTATTGAGGTGAAGATTCGTCATTTAGAGCAGAATACGTAACAGACAGTAGTTTGAAATCGATACGTTGACGGACTGGAAGCAAATGGAGATCTTTCAGAATTGGTGTCACATGTTCATTTGGTTTATTTTTATTTTCTGGTAGATTGTACAAAAGTGAATTACAGTAGTTGAGTCTTGATGTAACCATAGTTTTTATCAGCATTTTAGTCGTGCCGCAATCAATGAGAGATCTAATTTTTTCAATATTATAAATCTGAAAATTAATACTTTTACACATGTCCAGATTACAGTCAAAATAAACACCAAGATTTCTTTACAGAATCTGTTGGTGTAATAGAGATATTGCCAATTTGATAGTTTTCTGTTTTAGATTTTAGTAGTTGCTGCCTTTTGCCGACTTTCATTACTTCTGTTTTGTCATCGTTAAGTTTTAATAAATTTGAGACCATCCATTTACGAATGTCTGATAAACAGGCCTCAAGTTTGCATATCTCAGATGGTTCAGAAAAAGGCTCAAAAGCTACAGATGGTAGAGATGGTAGTTAAGACCCTGTTAACGAATGACATTTCCTGAAGATGTTTATTTAGTAAATAATAAAGGACCGAGAACGGAACCCTGTGGCACGCCATGCTTTAAAACCGTTGAGTTTGATGGGGTACCTTTGATAACAACTGTCTGTGGACGGTTTTCGAGGTATGACTGGAACCATGTAAGGTCTAATGCACTTACACCACGTACGTAACTAACGTACGAAAATTAAATGGTAGCTGGCTTTTTTTTTCACTTCTCTGCAGGTAGGGTGAGTCTGTCGTTCAGATTGCTTACACCACAGTTGTTGAGCAATCTTTTAAAAAGATTTCGGTGGTCTATCGTTTCAAACGCAGCGCTTAGATAAAGCAGGACTAGTACTGATGTTTGTTTCTTATCCATTTCGTTTAGTAGGTCATTTTGAACACGTAATAAGGCGGTTTCAGTGCTGTGTTGTTTTCTATATGCAGATTGGAATACTTCGTTGAAGTTATTATTATGCAAATATCTTTTAAATTCGGGTATAAAGCATTATTAACTATTATATACCCCTCCCCCATTTCCGCGGCCCACGCCGCCATTCGCCCCCCATTAAACTTTCGGTTCCCTATTTTCCTTTTCCTACTTTTTGTATTTTCATTTTTCCATTTTTTCCATTGCATTAACCTATTTTCCATTTCATTTCCTTTTTCCATTAGATTTCTATTTCCATTAGATTTCCTATTTCTGTTAGATTCCTATTTTCATTAAATTCCTATTTCCATTAAATTCCTATTTCTATTTCATTTCTTACTGCTATTAGATTTCCTATTTCTATTAGATTTCTTCTTTTCCTTTGTATTTACTTTTTTCCATTGGGAACAGTGGGAGGTTAAACCCCGTTTCATGTCATTCCATTTTTCCATTAGATTTCCTATTTCCGTTAGATTCATTTTTTCATTAAATACCTATTTCTGTTTCATTTCTTTTTGTCATTAGATTTCCTAATTCTATTAGATTTCTATTTCCGTTAGATTTTCAATTTCCTATTTCCGTTAGATTCCTATTTCCATTAAATTCCTATTTCTCTTTCATTTCTTATTGCTATTAGATTTTCAATTTCTATTAGATATTTCCGTTGGATTTCCTATTTCCCTTTTATTTCTTTTTTTCCTTTAGGGACAATGGGAAGTTAAACCCCATTTCGTTTCATTTCCTTTTTTTTCATTAGATTTCCTATTTTCATTAGATTCCTATTTCCGTTGCATTTCCTACTTAGATTACATTTCCTATTTCCTTTCCACTTCCTTTTGTTCATTGCCTTTTTCGTCTACTACCTTTTCTCATTTGCATTTTCTCCTTTTCATTACATTGCCTTTATTCAGATCATATTCTCCATTAATTTCTTCTCTTCTCGTATTTCTCATTTCATTTCTTTTTTTTTATTTCCAATGTAAACAATCTCATTCCTTCATTTTCAGGACATTATCCTAGCTCTGCTGTCACATGAACATACTAAACTTAATTAGTAATGTCTTAAAGCGTGGATGTCTAGGTGAAGAATACGGGTTATAGTGTTGACAAAGATAATGTACAGACGGGGTGATGATTATGATGAAGTCGAAGATGATAGTGATGATGATGTAGGGATAGGAATTAGGATGAATGGATCCTGTAGAAGATATACACCAATACCACAAGATGAGGAAGGTAGGAATATATATTAAACTTTTTTTATTGGTTTATAAGGAAATTATCATTCTTGATAATGATCAGAATTTAAGGACAATATTGATGACATCATCGCATTTGGGTGATAATTAATCCTTTGCTAACTACAACATTGTGACAGTTGCGCCTCTGAAAGGAATATCACTCCAAAAATTCCGTTCAGAATTTTACAAAGATATGTTTAATTGAAAATTTGTTAAAATTCACGGCTTTCGCTGAATCTTTTATATTGGCCGCTTTGTAATCCAACTGAATCCAAACCAAGTTTCCGAAAAATGCAGAGGACACATTAAGTGTATATAAACCCCCAAAATTGCAAAATATGTGTTAGAAATGTGTCAATTAGAAGGACAAATGGCCCTTTCTTGTGATTTTTTGGTAGTAGCTAGGGCGGGGGTGCAAAATTTTACGTCATCACGATTGGCCGTACAAGAAATATGCCCACTACCGCTAATACAAATTACTGGATCCGGGCTTCCCTATTATAGTAATAGTAATTTTGACATACCAACTGCAGCGACATATCGAGAAATATTCTATAATAAGTACTAACTGATAACAATAGGTATATTATTTCCAACTGTTGACAATATGGTGTATGTATTAAGGAAACAATAGGCCGACTATAGAAGACTTTATCGATTTTACAACACCTTTCGTCGAGATGAAATAGTTAATTCACGTATTATTATAGAAGAAAGAATTGGACGTTAGAAATTCTATAATAAGTACATGGGCCAACTTGTACTGTAGGATGAAAGGATGGTTGGTGTAATATGTCTTCTTGCTAACTGTCATCCGGGTCAAATAGAATGATGCTAGGTTTAACGTCTTACTTTTCTTCACCAATCAAGATAATCAAAACAGACATGCGCTATACAATGTGTTATAACGGCATTTCCGCCCCTCTTCATCGAATTTCAACTGCCAAGGGGTTCTTTTACGTGTAGACCAAATTGTAAATAGGCGGACCTCGGTTTTTTTTCCCACCTCGTTTTATCGTCCGACCCAAACGACTAGTTGCTTTTTCTTGCAGTGCACCAACGCCATACTCGCCGAGTCGCTTTGGCTCACCACAGCGTTTGTGCCCAAGAAGAAAGGTGGCAAAGAGCAATGGAGGGCGTGACGGCTTATAAGTCATAATTTACTATATCCATCTGCTTAAGATTTTATATCCGTAGTTTCTTACGTTCCGGGGATCACGTGGCTAAGTGGGTAAGACGCTGGCTCGCTAGCCTGGAGGTCGGGTGTTCGATTCCTGCATTGGTCGAGAAAGTTCATCCAGATTTTCCGGCGTGGTTCCCCCTTGTCAGTGATCCAGGACGGAGGGCCTGACAAGGACAGCTGTCTAGTCGTTCGGATGGGACGAAAAACCGAGGTCCCGTGTACACATTGGCGTGCAGGTAAAAGATCCCTTGACAGTTGGAATTCGATATAAGAGTAGGCCGTAGTGTCGCTGTCCGGGCAAAATTTCCCTCATAGCACACTGTATGGCGTATGCCCGTCTTCATTAGCCAAGTTCGGAGTAGAACAGTAGGACGTTAAACCCCATTTCATTTCATTTCGTACGTTCGGAAACACTGAAATGAAATTAAGACAACTAATGATTTCCGTTCACCGTACAGCCATTAAACTTTGATACGGGGATCTCACCTCACTAATCGATATAACCCATAGTCTACTATCTGGAATAACGAAACAACAGCAAAATCGAAGTCAAAGGATACAAAATCAACGGCAAGAATTGTTTCAAGACCACATATCACCAGTTTTATCCTCTCTTCATTGGCTTCATATCAATGATCAACGTAATTACTATGTTTAACATATCAAGCAGTTCAGAAAATAGCACTTGTCTACCTCCAGGAAGTTGTCCAGGAACATTTACCCTCTATATTAACCATACATCAAAAAATAACTTTCAGGTACGAGCATATATACATTCAGTGTGAAATAGCGCTATACAAATGTTCAAATTATTATTATAATTTTCACATTATTATGTAATTAGAACTTTTGGCTTTGAATCAAAGTGATCGAATCCCTTTCCATTTTTAATGAAATTTTATCGTAGGTTGTTCTTGCAATCACTTTAAATATAAACTATATCAAAGGCGCGTTTAGCCCCCTTCGCAATTCGGTAAAAGTTCGATTTCCATGGATGATACATTTATACGGGTTCGATTCCGGTGCTGGCCGAGAACCTTCCCAAGATTTTTCAACTTGGCTTCGTTTTTTCAGTGATACAAGGCGAAGGCCCTGGCAAGGAGCAGCGTCTCGTCTTTTGAGAGAGAGAGAGAGAGAGAGAGAGAGAGAGAGAGAGTTTAACGTCCACTTGACACAAACTAGGTCATTTCGGGACTAACATATGGTGAGGAAACCGGAGGACCCGGAGGAAACCCACGGGGTTGAACAGGCGACGCTACTCCTTGTCATGTATAACCAGGGAATCGAAACCACGCCAGTTGACTCAATGACAGATCTTGTAATGCAGCGGGCACGCGCTAACCTGACCATTCGCCCATCCACCCCACCGCCCCCGCCCACTGTTTCTGTGTTAACGTTGGTGTGTATGTAAAACAATCTTTGACATATGAAGGGTATAGGCGGAAACGCGGCTTTCCTGGTACAATTTCCCGTATATCACACAGCATGCCCGTCTTCATGAGCCCTTTTTGTGCAGATAATAAGGACGTTTACCACATCTAATTTCAGTTACGCAATAAGTTTTCAATTGGTTCAGCGGCCATTCGCGGGCATTGTTTCTTTCAACAATTAGGTTAGTCTAAGGATATTCAGAATGCGATATTATATAAATTAATTACAATTTCATTTTCTGGTCGAAAGTGATAAAGTCCCTTTAAAGGTATTCAACATCTAGAGAGATGAAATTACAATACGTATCTATTTACACTGCAAACTTTGTGGTAGTGTTTTGAACAATTGTCTGGAATATTTCCTGTTTTTGTGGTAAATATCTCATTTAAGAATACGTTTATCCACGGTATTGATTATTTGATTTTCACTTTCTGGAAGATCCAATATTTCTGACTAATAGGCAAACATAGACTTTCACGCCGTTTACAAATGATTAAAATCGTTCATTCCTGAACAAAGTTTTCTGCCATCTACAGCGCACACCGCTATTTGGATTATCTTAAAAATTCAACCATAAAAACATAACTCAGTTCTATCCATGAACATCGAATACAAGGTGCTATCTAACAATGGATCTAGCCCTTTCTATGAATATACTGGAAGTATCATGTAGTATTTTTGGTTGTTCTGACATTAAAAATTAAAGGGGCTCGTCGAATTGTGAGTCCCATATGGCATGAATCAGACAGTTATAATAAATTGTTATTTGCATGTGTTAATAGGCTATTTATCTTTCTGTACAGGTTGAACAAATATATAAACCTGTTATCTCCTGTATAGATGAAATGAAATGGGGTTAGCGTCCTATTGTTCTACACCGACTAGGCTAAAGAAGACGGGCATACAGTGTGCTCGTACGTAACTAACGTACGAAAATTAATTGGTGGCTAGCTTTTTTTTCGCACGTATACAGTGAATGGCCATTTTGCTCAGTAATCCCAGCCAGAATTCGGCTATTTTCTAAATTTGCGTTAAAGTTTAAAATATTTGTTTTAGAACTGAAACACATTAACTATTAGTCAATCCCAACGCTAAAAACATCAACAGAATTGATTGTGTATATCTGAAATAGACCCGACCGACGCACAAAATAGTGCAATATGGCGGCCTCTATGAACAACCCTCGTAGACGCTGTCATTGAAGACAACGTCAATTCTATGAGTTGTAGATGTTATTTTTGTGAAAAATCATTGGAAGAAGAGAGAACATGTTGGGACTGTACGAATTATATAATCTTTATGGGTGCAACGGACACAATGCTGAAGATAAACCTATTATTTACAATGTTACGAGTTGTTGACCATTGACGTCAATGTCATGACCCGTGATGTGTAGATCACGTGATATAGATATCATGGCTATTGACTGTGTCTGAGATACTTCTCCGCAGGTAGCGTGTGACAGATGTTCAAAATGACAGTGTGCTATGAGGAATTTTGGTCTGCGGCGCTGTGATCCACTCTTATTTCGAATTCCAACAGTCGAGGGTTCTTTTACATGCACGCCGATGTGTACACGGGTTCTCTTTCCAGGCACCCCGTCCTACGCCACTAACACAGATTGTGGTAAGAGGCAGACCATGCGCTTACTGGTTTCGAAACACCTGATACCAATATTTCATTAGAATGCCAGCTACATTGCCATGTTCTTCAATTAATGGAATTAAATTTGGTTGAAAATAAACTTTTATGCATCCCCATTTAAATGTTCGCGTAATTATATTAAACTGCTTTTTTAATTTAATTTATGGACTTTGAATATGGTCAATTTCATTCTGCGAAGTGGCCAAGTCCGCGTATGATATATCTGCATAGCATCATATTAGACCATTATATTACACGGCTATACGATGAGATATTGAGGTTATTGTTATTTATGCAATTCTCGAGTTGGCCATTTTTCCTCGCCAATGTAACATGCCAGTATTTATAGTAATTATATTAAAAGAGCTAGGTCTCTAATTCAGTATTTTTCATAATATTCGAAATTAAAAAAACAAATTAGAATTCATTATTGATCCATTTCAGTCCATACTAATGTTGTTAAGTTGCCGTGAAAATGTGGGATCCTAATATCCAATATTTAAGACACCATGAAGTTTTAAAATATGGCACACGAGTCGTGCAAAACTAATGAACAAAGAAAAACATATCCTAAATTACAAGGGGGCAGTAAATAGTAATGGCTGATTCATAAATCATAAAATAATGAAGGCGGACATACGGACTGTTCTTATTTAGAATTACAACTGTTTACGTATACACACCAATGGACGGGGGCTCGTTGTTTGTCATATACAATGGACTAGACACTGCCCCCC